CCTTTGATCTACACATCTCAATGCCAAGAAAGTATCTCAGCTCTCCTAGATCTTTTATATCAAATGCAGCCTTGAGGAATGACTTGGTTGAGATGATTCCTTCCTTATTACTACCAGTGATAATAATGTCATCCACATAGACAAGAATTACCACTATCCCTTGCTTGCTGGTCAGTGTGAACAGAGTGTGATCAGCTTGCGACTTCACAAATCCTTTCCCGTTGAGTGTTGTACTAAGCTTGTGATACCAGGCTCTTGGTGATTGTTTCAAGCCATAGATTGCTTTCTTCAATCTAATAACATTCCCTGGTTTAACCATATCTTCTCTACCAGGAGGTGGTCTCATATACACTTCATCTTCTAGTTCTCCTTGCAAGAATGCATTCTTTAAATCCATTTGCCATAGATCCCATTCAAGATTCACAGCTAGAGAGAGCAGAATCCTGATGGTATGGAGCTTGGCTACTGGTGCAAAGGTGTCTAGATAGTCCTCACTATAGACTTGTGTATATCCTCTTGCCACTAATCTGGTCTTCTTCCTCTCTAGTTTCCCATTTGCAAGGTATTTGATGGTGTATATGAGCCTGCTTGTAACAGCTTTCTTCCCTCTTGGAAGCTCAGTCTCATACCAAGTGTTGTTCTTTTCCATAGCTCCAAACTCATTCTCCACTGATTCTCTCCACCCATCATCTTCCATAGCTTCTGCATATGTCCTTGGTATCCACTCTTGGTCCACAGAACTTACAAATGCTTGGTGATCTTCTGGATAGTGAGCAAGGGAGCATGTACCCCTTACTGGCTGTACTACTGCCTCAGCATTAAAGTACACTCTTGTATTGTTCCAATTAGGTGCTTTGTTCCTGATTCTTGTACTTCTTCTCAAGGCATGTGGCTACTAAGGTTCACTTGTTTCTTCACTAGCTGGCTGCCTGATTCTTGTACTTCTTCTCAAGGCATGTGGCTGCTCAGGTTCACTTGTTTCTTCACTAGCTGGCGCCTCCTCCTGAGGCTCAATATGTGATTCAGACTGCTTCTCATTTTGATCATGTGCATTGGATTCTTTTGATTGATCACCATTTCCACTGCCCCTCTCATGATCAGAATGAGGAATTTCAACACTCTCAGCGTCAGTAGATGGTATATTCTTAGACACTGGATCCTCACTTGGCACAGACGGTATACTGACCCCCAAGCACTCCATTACTCTCCTCAGATTGTTTGCCCTATCCGAGGCTGATTGAGACAGATCTTTGAGCTCATTCCAGCTTTCTCCCTCATAGTAGCCTTTTGATTCTACAAACTTCACATCCCTTGATATTAAGACTCTCCTAGTCTCTAGAACAAAGCACTTGTAGCCTTTTTGATAAGGAGAGTAGCCAATAAAGACTGCTTTTGTGCTTCTGTGCGCCAGCTTGTCTCTGAGTTCTCCTGGTACCAAAACAAAACAAAACAAAGACACCCAAACACACGAGTATGATCTATGGATGGTTTAGTTTTATTCAATACCTGATAGGGAGATTGGTCTTGAAGAATCCTGGTAGGTATTCTATTGATCAAGTAGCAGGCTGTAAGGACTGCATCTCCCCAATATCGCCTAGGCATACTGGTATGAAACATCATGCTCCTTGCCACCTCCATTAGATGTCTATTCTTTCTCTCAGCCACACCATTTTGTTGTAGTGTATAGGGACAGCTAGTTTGATGGATTATCCCATATTTGGCAAGGTATTGTTGAAATGCATTGCTGGTGTATTCTCCTCCATTATCTGATCTCAAAATTTTTATCTTGACATTAAAATGGTTAGATACATAATTTTGAAAATTTATGAAAGCTTCTAAGACTCTATCTTTAGATTGCAGCAGTGTGATCCATATATATTTGATTTTTCATCGATAAAGGTCACAAAATATTTGTGATGCTCTCTGGATAAACATGGGGCAGTCCACACATCAGTATGAATAAGATCAAAGCAATTTGCATAAATAGTACTTGATTTAGAAAAAACAGATTTGCAATGTTTTCCCAAAATACAAGCCTCACAATTACTTTTAAAGGAGATACTAGGCAGCATGATGTTCAAGGCTCTAGAATGAGGATGTCCTAATCTAGCATGCCACAATACATCTTTAGGGAAATCAGAAACAGAATTTAAAGCTAGAGATAAATCAGAACTGAGCTTGGTTTCTTTAAGCACGTACAAGTTTCCCTTGGTCATACCTTTGCCAAGCAACCTACTAGTTTCAATATCCTGAAAGTAGACATCATTAGGAGTGAAAGTGACACTGCAATTTAAGTCATTAGTAGCTCTTTTAACTGATAACAGGCTTGAGGTAAAACTAGGCATATAGAAAGCTTTTGAATCTTTATTAAATAGCCTAAGATCACCTATACCATTAATTGGAACTCTTTCACCATTTGCTATTTTAACATTTCCTACGGCAGGGACAATGTTTTTAATTAATTTTAAGTCACTGATCATGTGGTGGCTAGCTCCTGAGTCTATAACTAATGGTTTTAACAAATT